CTCAGCAGCGTTAAAGCCTTTTTCTAGTTCAGATGAAGAAATGCTAGTCCTGCTGACATTCAAATCGAAGAGTTTCTATGGGTTTGGAGCTTTGCAATTCCAAGAAGCAGGAAGTATAAAAACAAAGTCTTGTGGTGCTGGCAGAGATCCCAAGGGGTAAATAGATGACCGGGAGCAATGGGTAGTAATGTCCTCTTTCAGAAGTCGTCCCTGGAAGGAGGACCTCTGTGCTGTGAGATGTTCCCAACTCTGGGGTTGTACTCAGAGGCTAAGTTGTCCTTGAATGGTCTCATCTTTGTTCCACAAACTTCTCACTTGTTCTAGAGATGTGCTGGGTGGATCTTCTATTCCTGGATCTTGTAGCATCACCTGTGTAAACAAGCAGCTTTGGCTTTGCTGCTCCTGTTCAAGATGCCTGAGCTTATTGTAGTGGCCGGATGTTTTGAATAAAAATCTGCTCCAATTTAAGCACTATAAAAAAAAATCCACCTCCTACTGATTAAATGTCAGGATTAATAGTGCTATTCACTGTGCTTAAGGCCTTCAGTCATTTAGGAACTTTTCAGAACAGGACGAAAGTGAAGGGTGGAGAGTGGCAGGGAGAGCCAAAAAGGCAGGGTTGGAAGGGGAGCAGGAAAAGAACCAGACAACAGACAAGCCATCCAAGTCACAGCAATGCTCAGAGCAGCCACACGTGTCTCTGTGATGCCTGGTAGGGGCCTGAGCATCACCTGAGAACTTGAAGCTACGAGGTTGAGGCCTTGTTTCTCCTGAAGTATTTGTGCTAACTGCCCAAGAACCTCACCTGCTCCTTTTAAGATGAAACACCCTCAAGTCACTGGAAGGAAAGTGTAGAACAGCTTCCTCTTAGCCCTCCCCAACAGTCCTGCAGCCCTCGGAAACCCTGAGCTCATCCTGCCCCACAGACACCTAAAGACCATTCCTTCTTTTTCTCTCCAGGTTGCATCCTTTATGCTGTTGGGCCTCATGTGCATGATGATCCCCCAGTGCCGAGGCTTTGCGGGTGTCATCGTCATCTGCCTCTTCCTCGGCCTCTGCGATGCGTTCTTCACCACCCTCATGGCCCCCATAGCCTTCGAGCTGGTGGGGCCCATGCAGGCATCCCAGGCCATAGGGTACCTCATGGGCCTCATGGCCGTGCCCATGACTGCTGGTCCACCAATAGCAGGTGGGTAGCGCCTTTGGCGTCAGTGTTGGATCCAGCTATGGGGAGGGAGCCAACACTAGCAGATGGTTTCACCTAGGCTGATATTTTGGTGAGGGAGCAGCAAGACAGGCCGAGAAGCAGTGTGAGCACATAAGCTAATTTTCCTGGAAGGTAAGCTAAAAATCAGGAGGCAATGATTCATTCCCAAAACGGCACAGAATGGCATGCAGGGAATTTCTTGAGCAGAGGAGAAAATGTAGTGTGAACTGTATAGACAAAAAAAAAAAAAAAAGAACAGATAGAACTATTACTTGCAGTAACATGTCACAGAAATATGAGTGTTTTTTGGAAGTCCTCTATAATGCCAGTCTTGAAGACTGACTGTTAACTGATAAATTCAGTGTCTGGATTACTGAATTAGAGCTGGAGACACCTGAGTTCAGGTCTTGCAAAAGCTCATGTTCATGCTGGAGCACATGAATAACCCAAACGTCCTTAAAAGCCAGCACTTTGCAGAAACTGGCACTCGAACAGCAGAACATCTGCAACTGAAATAGTGAAGCTAAAAATGTTAAAGCACATTTGATCTTCCTGCATTCTGGCAGCCAATGTGGGGCTCAATGCCATTGTGAGGAGCCCGGTGGCTGGAGCAGTGGCTCTGTTATCCTGGTGCTGCAGAACATGCCGTGTTGGACTCCTCCGGCACGGGAGCAGAGGAAGGGGCCCAGTGCATAGGCTCTATTCCCAAGCA